ATACGACAGGTCTGGACCACTCGTGAATTTTGTTCATATCTGAAAAAAATCCTAGAATACGAAAACATTGGTGAATGCCCTAAATCACTCGTACGCACAATTTAAGAAAAAATCTGTGCGTACGAACGGTTCTTGCATGAGGCCCACTGATCCAAAACATAAAGCAAAATCTATAATAAACGTATCCAGGTGTTAGAATGGCCAAGTCAAAGTCCAGACCTGAATCCAATTGAGAATCTGTGGGAAGAGCTGAAAACTCGCAAGAGGGACGAATAATTTTGCACGCTCAATTTTTTCCACGATTTCATGTTTTTTTTCCCTGTGCTTGGTCAATAAAAGTAACATTCACTGACTTCCACAATGTTTTCTCTTCATTTCTTTGAGTGTTCCTGAAAGCAAACATGTTGCACTTTGGAATGACCTTATTATTGTATCATGTTTTTGATCTGAGTTTGTTTTACAGAATGAAATGTCTGAATAAGTGCTCATCCAAGACTGCTGATTCCACACTTTTTGTCAGGGGTTGTAGAAAACACATTCATGTCGTCGCCACTGACCTAGGCAGCTCATGTGCAAAAACACACAGAACAGAAAAAAAAATAAAATTGCCTTTATTTGCAAATTCCATGACTTTCCAGACCTGGAAAATGAAAAAAATGGAAATTCCATGACTTTCCAGGTTTTCCATGATCGGTGGGGACCCCGTAAATATTTTGTGAATTTCAGATATACACTGATTTTATCGATACTAATCGTTTACTTTAATCAGCAAGAGAACCAACATTTAGTTCTAGTTTGTTTGTTTTTATAACTTACTTCCTTGTTTACCATGACATCACAGTACATCATACTGTATGAAACTGTGGTCATTTCCTGAGTCTGAGGGAAACGAACCAGACCTGAGTTCTGTGTGGTAAACTCTACATGTCTGTAGATAAATATTCAAATCTGCGAACTGAACTGATTTCCTGCTCATAATTCRGTCTCTCATCTGAGCATGAGTTTTCAGTTTCATAACACTCTTCATGATGAAACCACGTCACCTGTAGTTCTAAACTCTGCTTTCCCACGATCCAGTTTAGCTTTTATTTCAGCTCAGGAACCATCTGTGACACAGTTACACATTAACCTATCAAAATAACTGCTATTTTCATAACCACCTGGGAAATCCCAATATTCAAATACAGTCTGAGACTTCCTCTTTCAAAAGACGTCAAGAAACCCTTCTTAAAAGTCGCTAAAATTAAGAATCAGATCGATTTTCCGGGGGTTATCCTGAGTAATAAAACAAATTT